TCATATTATGAGTCATATTATGGTCCCAAAATTCCATTGTGCATGAAAAAGATGCAGAGATCCTTGGAGAAACAGCAGCTTCAAAGACTCTGACATGAAATGTACAAGAGGAGCCCAGAATATTCTTTCATGTCAGAAGGGAAGGTGTGATCAAAGACTGATGGGGTTATACGAGAAGAGCGAGGCACAGCTTTCAGAGGTTTCCATTGGCCAACGATGGAAGGAAACGAGGCATCAAAAATAGCCACTGCAGCGGACCAAAACACTTCAAGTGTGTGTTTAAAAAGGAGCACGTCCTGGAAACGTTCTTCAGAGGCAAAGCCAAGCTCTCACAGCTGACCCTTGGAGAAGGCTGCATCTGCTTTTCTTATTACTATCACCAATGAACGGCAAGCAGCGACTTAAGGGAGGAAGCACTTATTTGACTCACGGTTTGAGGGAGTATAGCCCATCCTGGAGAGGAAGGCATCGTGGAGGCAGCTGATCACATTGTGTTAGCAGTCAGGAAGCAAAGAGTGTACAGGAAGTAAGGATGGGGTATTAAACCTGAAGACCAACTTCCGGGGATCTGCTTCCTTCAGCAAAGCTTCTTTTCAACCTTCCAAAAGTGCACCATAAGCTGGGCACCTAAGTGTTCAAATACACAAGCCTATGTGTTCCAACCACATTTCAACCATAATGCTAGGGGATGAATTCAGTGTTCTAAAAACTAGTAAATAGAGGGAACTAGTCAAGCAGCCATCTTGCCTCACAGAAGCTGTAATCAGTACAATCACATATGAAGGGAAGTTTTTATTTATAGATTTCCTGCTAATATATACAGAAGGAATACTATAATTAGAATGTCATCCTTTTGAACCACTAATGAATTAATAGATTTTGGCAATGATCATCAATGGCTGCTAAAGTCCACTGAAAGTGGACTGTATAATGAATGATCAGACACAATCCACTGATCATATAAAAGAGACATACTTCATCTCCCACCATGTTTCAGAGGAAGCACATGGCAGCATTTATGAACTTGGCTCCAATCATGACTGTAAATACTTGATCACATATAATCAGGTGTTAGGAATATAGAAGACCTAGGAGCATGTGAAGTGACCCATGGGAATATAATGAATTAATCCAGAATGTGAGAAGTTGGTAGGTCAAATGACCCAAGAAGAATATGAGAGCAAAGACAACAATAGATTGAGACATGAAGAAACATCGCTAAATTAATCAGACTTTAAAAGAGTGCTTTTTTTTGCACACACACATGCACAGGCATGCAAAACAAACAAACAAACAAAAAACCAAACCAAAACAAAAAACACTGAGTGGCATTTGATGCTAAGGAATTGATGGTATTTTGGTAATTCTTCAACATATTAGAAAAGAGTCATTGTCTCATTTCTGTTATTCAAACAAATGTAGCTTCCAGTTTGCCTCTCCCTTTGAGTCTAATTGAGTGCTTCTCAGAGTTTATCTGTAAAAGACACCATAGAAACTCTCATAGGTTTTTGTAAGTAGCAAATCTATCACAGTGTTAAGGTGGTTTATTTTGCAGCTATTCAAGTCTTGGTCCCTGCAGAATGAAAGCATCTCTAGGCCATATGGAAAGAGGAACTCCAGTGGTGCAACCCATTAGCATGTGGTACTTACATGATGATATGGCAATGTGTGGGCATCATGAGTGTCATACGTCTTTACTCACAATTGTATAATCCACTGGATTTGTGGAAAATCCCAGGTTTCTGTGTTTTAACAAGTATGGCAGACATTCCTGAGAGGTGATTATAGATATGAGTCCTATTTTTTTTTTTAGTAAGAAGGCTGAAGCTCAGTCAAGATAAATTATTTGCCCAAGGATCTGTAGGTAGAAGAAAACAGAGCTCTGTTCACTGAGGAAAACTGTAGCTACCAGGTCTTTTTGCTTTGGGCCACACTCACAGGTAGAATACATTGGGAAAGCATTGGAGGACAGAGCAAGAGCTTTGTGGTACACAGGACAGTGAACTCATTCATACCCTTTAGAGGAAGGGAGAGACCAGACGGGAGGAGGGGGAAAGAGAAAGGGGGCAATGGGATACAGTTGACATTCCCATGTGGATCTGGAATCTTGAGTTGTCAGCTTTAGAAAAGAAAAACACAAGATACCATGTTATAGTGTAGCATCAGACAAACCCATGTTCTTAGTCATGCATGTGTCCTGTGTAGTATTCGTGGCTATAACTTAGTTGTTTTAAGTTTAAATTCATCTGGGTATCTTGCACTTTTATTCACAGCCTTCCTGATATGGGAGTGACACCATGAGAGCCTTTAGCACCTTTTTAATGGGTAATGGGTCAAGTGCACCCCACTGCAAAGGAACAGAGTTACCAGGAAGCTGCTTAGACAGAAGGTCCAGAGGAGATTTCCTTGCTTTGTGTATGTAGGTTTGGGAACAGTTGATGAGTTTCCTTATAGCTCCTTAGCTGATGAATGACTTCAGAATGCATATCTGAAGCTTGAGTTGCTCACCTACCTGGTATCTTTACTAGGAGTCTATTCCTTCAAAATCTTAATGGTTTCTGGGTTTAAAGAGAATTTTCTGTAGACAGTGTGACTCATACTGTCTCATGTTCATCCTCATATGTCTAAGATGATGGTTTTCATGGGGAACAGACTTAATAATTAAAGAAGATTCATATTCTTAAGTCAACCTACATGGTGGTCTAAGAAGCAAAGAATCCCAATGAATCCTGCACAGACTGAGGGACAGAAACAAAAGAACAGGTCTTAGGGACCCATGGCCACCTAATTTCTATAGACTAACATCTAAACCCAATGAGCAAAGCCTCTCCTAAGCAATTCCTCCTTCTGCATTTCCTAATTCCCAACTTCGTTGATCATGCGGGTGTGTAAGAGGGGACAGAGGAAAGGAGTGATGGGGCAGTGGAAGGCGTCCTACAGCAGACAGGGGCTTCTTCCCTAGCAATTCATTCCAAGTTTTGTTTTCCTACATTTTTTTTTTCTAGAATCATTCTTCAGCATGTTTCCTGGACCTTATTAGTTTATGTTACCCCCTTTTCAGGGTTTTGTTTTCTCGTTGTGAATTATTAGACCACTACTTGTCCCAGACTGAGTCTTCTAGTGATGCTGGAAGGAAATCAATATGGGTTCTTATGGACAATAAAGGAAGTTACATTTACTATAATTGTCCAGGAATATGTGGAGATGTATACAGTGAGCAATTATTGTATCATGTGTACATCTCCATATTTAGTGATACCTAGTAGGTTTTTGTATCCATAATTCTGAGGAAGCCTTGTTGTTTAGTTCATATTTTGAAATTGAAGAAGCTTAAGTTCATAAAGGCTAAGTACTCATCAAAAATCATACCAAAGTTTAGGGTTTCTTGACTTCCAATTTTTGCTGGTTTTGCCATGTTATCAACTTTACTCCTGGAGGAATGTAGTATAAATTTCACCCACATTGGTGCTGCTACTCCATGAAAGTCTTCTGAAGGGAGCCCCTGTGACTAGTTATGTTCTTCTGACAGTTGTCTGCTCAAATACTTAGGCTCATCATGGTTTACACCCAGCACTCTTGAATTTCTTCTTTTCTGAACACAGAGATTTCAATTTAAAACTTTCTCTGTATTGTATATATATAAAAACCCACCAACTGAGACACATACTAGCATCAAATGGAGGGTTCCATTATTTAAAATTATATACCCAGAGTGATGTATTGGTACATTACTGATTTCTGTTTGTTTTCACTCAAGAGACCAGATGAGACAAACCATTCTAGCATATTCTATCACAAACATAATTATTTTACAAAACTGATATTTTTATGTGTACTTATGTCTGCTGGTTTCTGTCTGTCTAGTCAAATATTTGTGTTTGATTTTATCTTGGAATTTTAAAATGTGATACCCAATCATTGTAAAAATTCACACACTATAGAAATATATATACTAAAATCTGGAACTTCCTTACTTCTGTCTCTATAGAAAACTATTGGTTTAGTAGCTTCTGGACCCTTTCATATCATTCACTAAATTACACACTATTACTATATATTTGCTTATGTTTATGTATTTCCAGTTTTACATAAATGATAATAGCAAACTATTTATGAACGAGCTGTATTTTACTACATTTATTGTCCTGCAGATACTTAACATATCAGTATATGCAGCATTTTTACATTCTGTTATAGTCATCATATATACCTTTAAAAATGAATATATTCTGCCTCCTTTAGAAACAACAAAAAAGGGCCTTGAACCAAATAATTTTACCTACACACAAGACAATATTCTTGAACTACTTCTGAAGTGAAGTCGATGGATTCCAGGGCTCTTGCAATGTCAGTGTGGACAGATAAAGCAAAGACTGTGCCCTCAGAAGCAGATTCCAGTCCCACCACTGGCATCAGAGCATCAGGTCTCACACCTCCAACATCAGATAGCAACCGTTCTTTTCCCTTTTTATCAAATGTCATTAAAATCCATGTCTCTGCTCTTTGACTTGGCATCTCTCCATTCGTTTGTGGCCATTTGTAGCTATTTTGTGGCTCGTCTGCTCTTAGTCTTGACTCATCTGTCTGTCTGTTTGCTTATCTAACTATCATATGGATTTTAATTCCTTGTCTGTCCCAGCACTGGGGAGGCAGAAGCAGAAGGACTTCTGCCAGCTTGAGGCAAGCCTGGTTTACACAGAGACTTCCAGGCCAGCCTGGGGCTGCTTAGCAAGACTATTTTACAAAAAATTATTATTATTATTATTATTAATGATTATAATAATTTGTCTTTTACATATGTTGCAGGTATTTCTGTCACTTGTCTTTTAATTATGAATTTTGTCTTTGATATTTAATTTTACAAAATTGTGTCTATAAATTATATCCTTTATGACTTTTTAAGTGTATATCAAGTAGGAAGGTCTTCTGCTCCTGAGGTTATACAAATACCTTTGTAAGTTTTCTTCTAATATTCTTATTGTTTTGTTTTTTATGTTTAGCTCTTTAATCCATCTGGAAATGATTTTTGTATATGGTGTGAGGTAGGTATCTAAGTGTATTTTTTAAATGATTAGTTCATTGTCCCAACACTTTAATTACTAACCCATCATTTCATATATTAAACTCTAGTATTTATACATGGTTCTGTTTCCAGGCTTTCTATTTTGTTACACTAATATATTGTCTATCCCTATGCTAAACACAGGGTATTCATTATGTAGTGCAATAAAATGTCTTGCTATCTGATAAAACAAATCCCCATCATCGTTCTAGCTCAAGTCTTTAATTAAGCAATCACTACTCTAGATAAAGTTGAATTCATTTTGTCAGTTTCCATAACCCATTCCATAGGAGGTTTTAAATTTTATATTGCACTCAAATTTTCATTGTATTTTAAGAATGAATGAGAGACTTATTCCACCAAACCTTTTTTTAGAGAAAATGATAAAAAAAAACTTTGCATTTATGTTGGTCCTCTTTCGTGTTCTTTTACCTGAACAGACCTATACATCTGAAGCTGAGTTATGTCTCAGATTGTTAAGTGCTTTGTTGGTATTATGCAATTTTATTTTCAATTCTTTTTTGAGTTACTATGGTATTGTTAGTATAGTTTGGCTATTGTGTTTCTATATGGGTATCTTACTGAGCTATCAAAGTTTCAATTTCTTTTTAGTTAGTTGTTTTGTATAACATGCTGTTCCCAGACAACAGACAATTTTGATTCTTCTGTTTCAACATTTCATTATATATTTACTTTTTAAAATAGATATTTTATTAATTCTTTGAGAACTCTTCATATCATGTGTTGTGGTCATATTTGTGCCCTGTAACCCCTCCCACACTTATTCCACCTCTCTACTCCTCAAACTTTGTCTTCCTTTTTTAATTTTAATAACTCATAGATTGACTTTGTTCTGGTAGTGTGTTCATCCACCAAATCTCCATGACACCTCAGTCAGGAGTCGGGGCTCATGAACTTCTCCCCCCTTCATGCTAGAATGCTGATGCTTGGTCTTGTGCAGGCAAGCACAGCAGCTGGGAGTTCATGAGTGCCTCATTCCTGTAATGGCCAGAAGACACTGTTTTGCTCTGGTCATCCCTGACCTCTGGCTCTTACAATCTTTTCTCCCCCTCTTCTTAGTGGTCCCTGAGTCTTGAGGAAGGGGTGTGATACAGATGGCTAAGCTCTCAAAGGCACGTATTCTCTGCAGGTTGACCAGTTACTAGTTTCTGTGTTAAGTACCAGTCGCTGCATGAGGAGACTTCTTTGATGAGGTTTGAGAGCAGCACTAATCTCGGCATAGAGAGATACGTATTTAGAGGCCATTTTGGTATTATATCCATTTAACAAAATAATTACTTTGTTGCATTGCCTAGGATTTCCTGGACAGTTTCACAGAATCAAGGAAATGATGTCCCTTCTGTGCTTCTTAGGTTTTTCAGACTTTGTGACGTTTATCTCATTAAATAAAAGTTTTCTTGGCCGGGTGGTGGTGGCTCACGCCTTTAATCCCAGCACTCGGGAAGCAGAGGCAGGCGGATCTCTGTGAGTTCGAGGCCAGCCTGGTCTCCAAAGCGAGTTCCAGGAAAGGCGCAAAGCTACACAGAGAAACCCTGTTTCGAAAAAACCAAAAAAAAAAAAGTTTTCTTCCTTACTCATAGATTAGGAATTTCAATCAGAAAACAGTACTAGAAAACTTTAGTATCTTTTGGAAGAATGATTTTTTTTCCTTTCTTTATTTTTTAATTAGACAAATGGAACAGTAGATTTCCTAAGGTTATTATTTTGATACATTTTGAATATGATACAATAAGTTATTTGGATTTGGTAATTATATTTAGAATAGAAATGGCTATATCAGTACATATAGATAAAATCTCTTTATCTGTATTTGTATGTTTGAGGCTCTGTGTTGTTAGACCAGTTCTGCTTTTAGAGAAATTTAAGCCACAGAGAATGGTTTGAGAAAGTATTTATGCTTTTTACATTGGAAAAATACAGATTAGAAAGCCTTAGTTGACTTCATAAATAAGACTGCCTTTTTATTTTTATCCTATCTCTATTTTATTTGCTATAATTTTAATATTTGTTCTCAAATTTTCTACATTTTTTTCAGATTTTCATTAATATTTTCCAGTAAATCAGTCACTAAACTTGTATTTTAAAAATTGATGATTTTTAATTTTAGCATTTTACAGTTTTCTCTTCTATGTTGCTTATTAACCTTGCCAACGATTTTTGTAACTTTGGAAGACAAGCAATTCATTATGTAGATCAAGCAAGAGTTTTGTCTTTTTCATCTCTGTTTGTTTGGATTTATACCAAATCAGTTTTGTTTTTAAATTTTGTCTTTTTATTTATTCCTTATTATTCTCAATGTAATTTTTTAGGGTTTTATTTTCTTTCCTAGTTTGGTTATATATTAATTATTCTAAAACTACTTAAATTCTACATATTTTTCTAAAGATTACCTCAGTTATATTCCATAGGATTCAATGAATAAGACTTGAGTTCATACTACAAAAATACTTTTAAATATTATTATTTTAATTGCTTCCAATGAACCTTTTAATAGATTACTCCTTTGCTGTTATTTATAGTTTGCTTTATTTGGTATGGGAAATGTTTCTTGTTCTTACCTTGTATTCATTTTTTTCTTTGAAATTTCAGATGTTCTTTGAGGTTTTATATGTAATTGAAGTGTGTAAATTAAAAAAAATTAGCATGTATTAGTTTTCCATTGTGGTGGCTTCATCAGTTTTTATATTTTATATTTTGTTCTTTATATGTGTAAAATCTCTGTATATTTCACATAGTGCTACTGTTGTATCTGAGTACACAAGTTCATGATTATCATAATGGTGCATTTCTTCAACTTTATATAAAACATTCAATTTGGAATAAACATGACAAGCCTTTTTAAATATTAAGTTGCAAAATTCAGGGTTTCACATGAGAAAAAACACAAAATGTCTAAAAAGAAATTAATAAAGGAAATTTAATTGGCCATACACATCTGCACAGTGAATATGCATGCTAGCTTGTATGCATATGTATATGTGCATAGTATGTGCACATATGGCTGATTATGTTTGATTTTTATTCCATGTACTTTCACTGTTTTATTTTCAATATTTTTTGTAATTTTGTTTTAAATACAGCTTTTCTAAATAATGTGAACCACTGATTTTTTTAACCTAAATTTTCCTCCCATGTTCGAGGTAGTAATAACACATTTATGCTTACTGTCCACAAGTTTTAGAGTTCACTTCCGTTTTGTAATTCTTGTTCATTAATGCTGCTCGCCCCCTTTGTGGTGTTTTGTGTAAGATGAGAGATTTTGATGTTGTGTTCCCGAAACTGGTTAGGAAGCTGCATGTCGTATTTTTCATTCTTCTAGAAGCTGCTTTAAGTTTTCTGCAAGCATATTTAAGTGTAAATTGTTATGATCAATAATCAATTGGTATCTATGAGTGCTTTTCTCTCCTCTCTTAATGATAAAGTCTTTATTGGGCTTTTAATTATTTCCAGATCTACTCTTCTCTCCACTTATGTTTAAGATTATGTGGAAATTTCATTCCCAATAATTAGGTTAGCAGTAGCAGCAGTGGTACTATTAACATTATTGGTAATATTATTTACTTTGCTTCCATTTTATAGGAAGCCCTTATTCGTTATTGTATTACCTTTAGCCACCAAATTAGCAAGCATTATTTAGATTTAAATTGCACTCTTGTGGTGTATCTGCTCTATTGTTGTGAAACTCAAGTCATAGCATATCTTACGTTCCTTTTTTTCTATTCTTCTAGTATCATCCTTTGTCAATTTCTGGTGACTTTGCTTTTACTTTATTTTCTTTGAAAACCTGTGTGTAGTGAAGAGTCCTGATCTTTGCTTCCCAGGTGGAAACATCTTGCATTGTCCTTACAGCTGACACAAAGCTATGCTGATTTCAGAAGTCTCAGGTTTTGAGTGATTTTTCTACACATCCTGAAGACTGGTTTCTTCTAGGATGTTTCCAGGAGAAGATACACACTACCCTTTTAGATATGAGGTTTTCATATCTTTTGCCATCTGCTTTCCAATGCTCACTGTTGATGTCCACCCAACTGGTCCATCAGGAAAGATGACTGTGTTAACAGTTTATTAGGACACATACACAGAACTCCTTTCTTTTCTAACCAACAGCAAGCACTTTCATAACAAATTTCACACATTAGCTGAAAGGTCCAACTTCTGATGTTCTGCTTAGTAATGATGCAGTTCCTTCCTGAGTTTTGAATCGTGTTGTGAATTTTCTTTCATGTGTGCTAATATCTCTAACCCAGTGGTAGTAAATATTTATGCGGTTTTCCTCTCAGTCATATTGCAAACGTTTGCCCTTCTCAGTGACTTTCTCTTACTCTTGACTCTCATAGGTAAACACACAAATAGCCAGTATCTCTTCAGGCTAATTTTAAAGACTATATCCTGTGATGTATCTTACTAAGCATTTTGAAGACTATTCTTTTTATCCATCCAATTTCTTATTAACAAATGGGCTTAGGGGCTTCCAGAAGTCTCCATCCAACATGAAGCATGGATCCCAAGTTGTGATGAGAAATGTGAGAGCAGAAATTAATAATCTACAGATTAGATGTCCATAGTGTATTTTTGTGCCTTGATCACCTTTGTCCAGGTGTCTGACTCAATGTCTGTGGCCACTATTATACTTGGAGGCTCACACCGGTAATTCTCCTGGCTTCCTCCTGGAGTTTTCTTTAAGAAACATTTTAAGATTTTATTCTAGTATCAGACTCTTATTTCTCTCTCACTTTTAGTTTTCATGCTCAGTGTTAAGAAGTCTGCCTTCTTCCCTCAGGTCTGACCTATAGCTGCTTTCAATATAATGTTCACTGATGTTGGCATCTCCATTCACCTATGAATTCAGGTTGCCTAAAGCATGGCCACATTAGGATCCAATGCATGGAGGGTACATTTATATAAGAAAGGTAGAGACTTCTGGTTGATTCTGTCTATTTGGTAACTTTATGTGCCTCTGTCTTTACCTGTTTTAGGTGGGAGGACACACCATGCTCCCCATCCGCTGGATGCCTCCTGAAAGCATCATGTACCGGAAGTTCACCACGGAGAGTGATGTGTGGAGCTTTGGGGTTATCCTTTGGGAGATCTTTACCTATGGGAAGCAACCATGGTTCCAGCTCTCCAACACAGAGGTAACAAAGGGACAGGTCAGGATCTGGTTTGGGGGAAGGCTGATAATAGAGATCACAGAGCAGGAATTGCATGTAGTGTACAGAGAGCTGGGCTATGGAGGGAGCAGAGTGGATGCAGGAAAAACCAGGAGGAAAATCTTAGTGGAGGAAAGATTGTAACTAAAGAAAATGGGTATAACTGTCAAAAGAGCATGAACTGGAAGTCTAAATGGAGACATGAGTCAGGGTTCTGTTTGTTCTGCTACACATAAAAATAACAACATTCCATAAATGTGCAAATATGCAATCTTGTTAACTGGTAGCACCAAGGCCTCACAGAGAAGTATTGAGAGCCCTGGTGCAAGGACCCACTTAATACAAGTTCTCCTCTTTTCCTAAAAGACATAATTTGTTTTATTTTTTTATTTGGATGTATTCAATATTGTGAATAAATATTAAATTATAATTAAAAAAATAAGAACATTTCACTAAGACAGAAAGTGAAAACAAAGAGCAGCTGAGAAGTGTTCTATTGTGACATCTTGTGGAAACACCCCCTACTTATGTCTACAAAGGCTTGAGCTACCCCAGGCACAGAGACACATGGATCCCTAATTGACTGAAAAGGCCAAGTTCAGAGTTATGTGCAGGTGTTCAAGAGTAAAATAAACCAATGACAGCACAGTAATAGATACTTAAAAATTTTCATAATTTTAATTTATAATGAGCTAAAGTAGTAGATAATGCATTTTAACATTAACTAACAATTACCAATAGGCATTTTTCTAAGCACCTTAGGTGCAGTAACAGTAATTTTCACAAAAACACCCCTTGAGCTTTTGGACAAGGAAAGGGGGGTGGTATTTGGCATCTTGGAAGAGACTGGGTGTCTTAGAGTACTAGACAAGGAGATGGCTTGGCTTGTGGTTTTAGGAGTTTTCTATTTCTAAATGACACTGAGATACATCTCAAGTACGTGCAGAATGTAGCCATGTTGAGCCAGAGATTCCTCACGGTCCACAGACAGCATGGGTGGGGCTCCTCAGCAGCTGACTTACAGAAACGCCAGCTTTTTGGTACTCTTTTTTCTTGTTTTGAAATCATCAACACTGAAACCTTTTTATATTAAAATCTCATTCGAATACTCAAAAAAGTATTTTTCACTTAGAAGCTATGTTCATTTCCATTCCTCTATGTCCTGACCTGAAATTTAATTGAATTTCAGAGACCAAAAAAATAAGGCTGGGGATGTGGCTCGGTTGGTAGAATACTTGCCTAATGTGCATGAAGCCCTTGATCTCCTGTGCCACATAAATCAGGCATGGTGACACCTGTCTGTAATCCCTGCCCACAGGAGATAGAGGTGGTAGGATCAGGAGGCCAAGGTCATCCTTTGCTACATGTAGGTTTGAGGACAGCCTAGCTCAAGTGAGACCTTGTCTCAAAACAAAACAAGGCATTTCTTTTTATCTGTGATATCTTACTATGCAGGTATACTCAATGGGGCCTGACCTCAATTTCCAAAGTAAAACAAAGTAGAACAAGCACTTTGGTGGACTTATAGACTAAGGAAAGAGTGTATATAGAAGCTATTTGTTGTGGTGGGTTTTATTTAAATTGGTACTGTTTTCCTAGGGGTGGGACACACACATTTGCACATATAGATACATGTATATGAACTTATATTCATGTAAATACACACATGCATGCATCTGGGCACAACCTCTGTGGTATTTGGTAACCAAAGAAAGAAGAGTCCTTGGATGGATGTGCTGTTGGTGTTAGCAGAATCTTGTCATGGATCCCTAAGATGGCTAGAGCAGCTGATGGGGTGCTTGTGGCCTCTTCAAAGATGGTAGGGCCCTACCCTTGAAAGCAGGCTTTCTTACCTCAACTACTTCCCTTGCTCCATCCACAGCAGCAACAGCAACAACTAGGTACTGGCAATCACTGGTGATGGGCTTAACTGTGGAAGTCTACAGCCTGGGTGGTTCTGCTTTAGAGAAGATACCAGTGGGTGCTGTAGCTAGAGTTTTCCTGCTTTGCCCACAGTCAGGACAAGTCTTTGTCACCCGCCAGTCCCACAGCCGCTCAGACCCAACCAAGTAAACACAGAGACTTATATTGCTTACAAACTGTATGGCCGTGGCAGACTTCCTGCTAACTGTTCTTATATCTTAAATCATTCCATTTCTATAAATCTATACCTTGCCACATGGCTTGTGGCTTACCGGTGTCTTCACATGCGGCTTGTCATGGTGACGGCTGGCAGTTTCCCTGACTCAGCCTTCTGCTTCCTAGAACTCTCCTCTCTCCTTGTCCCACTTACTTCCTGCCTGGCCACTGGCCAATCAGTGTTTTATTTATTGACCAATCAGAGCAATTTGACATACAGACCATCCCACAGTAGGGTGCCTTTGATCTAAGCATAAGCAGCAGCTATTGCAGTTTGAACTGAACCCTTCTTCATGAAGGTAGAGAGGGTAGAGGTGAAAATGGGGAGAGGTGTGATACCATGGTAATCATAGCAGCCAGAGACTTACCAGGTTGGCAAGGAAGCAATCCCAATGTGCCATCACAGACTCCACAGTGAGTGGGAAGAGAGAGGGGCCAGCACAGTGAAGGTCATTCCAGGTCGGAGTAATGTGAGGTACCCAGACACTGGGGAGAAGGCCCTGCTCTGCAGGATGCAGCGATAGAGGGGCAAGGAGAAAAGGACAAAGAGCAGAAGAGGGAAACAGGGGAAGAAAGGAGGAGAGGGGTGTTCTCACCCAATAAAATACATGCTAATGGGGAAGACAGGGCAAACATTTGCTCAGATCCCAGACTACAGGAAACTCTTGTTTGCTTTTTTATCATCACAATCAAACTTCAAATGTAGAAACCCAAGCTTGAGGTAACTTGCTTGAAGTCGCACAGTGCTAAAGTTAGATAGAAGTTAAAAGAAACCTGAAAATTAGACGAAATTTTGAAAAAATTCACATATTTCAGTTTCAGTAAAGAAATGTCTGGCCTCCCAGAAGAGCCCAGGGGGACTGTTAGGAGATGATACAGTGTAGTGTCCTGGATGGAATCCTGGAATATAAAGGAGAAGAGGTTAAAAGCTAAGGAAATGTGGATAAACTATGGCATTTGGCTGGTAATGGATTAACCAAATGCAGTGTGTGCTATCCTAATAGCAGGCAGATGGCAGCTCATAATGGGAACCATACATAATTTTCTCCATTTTTCTTTGAACAAAACTTTTTTAAAAAGAGAGTTTATTCCCTTGCTATTGTGAACAATGCACTCATAACCATAGATGTGCAAGTGTCTGTGGTGGGATGTGAGCCCTCTAGGTACATGCCTGGAAGTGGTGTGTCTGGGCCATCTGGTGACAATACTTTTTGATTCTTGAAAACCATCCATGTTGATTTCTAGCCTGGCTCACAATGTTTGTCAGTTTGCGTACACAGAAGAGTGAGTATGTGATTTGGGGTATGAAGCTATAAAGGGGGTGATGGGAGGGAAAAAGAGGCACCACGGGAAACCTACATGAGGACACTTGGGATGTGAGAGCAGAAAGGATGGTGTGGAGGGGGCAGAAGTGTAGAGAGTGGTATCAGGGGGAGGGACAGAAAATGATACGAAGAGAATTAACAAAACCAAAGAAAACCAGAATGCCAGGATGAAGCTTAATACTGCATTTTCTAATTAGAAAATAAAGTCTAGTGTTAAAATTAAGGAAAAAATGGGGGAAATGCGGTATTACACGTGAGAATACACTCAAAGTACAATATACTTGTATTAAAATGTCCTTATGTAACGTAGTGCTGTGTAGAATGGCTACACACCAATGGGAAAGTAAATAATTCTTTTAAAATGTATCTGGACTGTGAGTGTAGATAAGTAGTACAGAAATTGCCTACTCTTGAGGCCCTGGGTTCAATTCCCGGCATTTAAAAGGAAATGTCTTTGAGTAATTGGAATGGAGCTGGAAAGAACGTGCCTGGGTCTCCTGCACCTTGCAGCCATCCCCTCAGTAGAGTACTTTTTTTTTTTTTTTCCTTGCTGCATTGGTTCCTTCTGGAACTCCAGATCCCAGTCTTTCAGACGAGGGTGGCGAGATCCTCTGAGGTTAATTGACTTGAAGTGGCTGGCCACCCAGGTAGCAGTGACTCTAGCAGCTCACAAAGAGCTATGGGCAGCCGAGGAAAGTCGGGAGCAGGAGAGGTGCTCTTCGCCAGGGAAGAGCACCAATTGGCTGCCAAATGGTCAGCCCTGAAGACTCACATTCAAATAATGTTATACGAACTGAGAAGATTATATTTAGGAATATATCTGTATATCTGTATACATATATGTATCTATATGCATATAATACCAATTGAGGGGAGGAGAGGCCATGAATTTGAGTGAGATTGGGGAGAGGTAGATGGGAGTTTTGCAGAGAGGAAAGGGAAGGGAGAAATGTTGTTGTTATAGTAGAATTTTAAAAGTGCATATCAATAAAATACTTCGCAAAAAAATCTTAAAAGAAATGAGACAGGTGATTCACTGCAGAGAGGAGGGTAGACTTTGCTGAGCAAAGGTCCTATGCTCAGAAGCAAGTAGGATGGTTTGCACAGAGGCTGTGGCTGGGAGAAGAGCTTGCTACAAATGGGAACCAGTGGCTAAAGGATGGATCAGTGGATGGAGCACTTGCTGTAGCAGCATGGCAACTGGAGTTCAGATCCACAGAACCCAGACAACACAGGCAAGCAGGTGTGGCAGCTGCCTGAAATCTGAGCAGAAGGCACGCACAGCTGGCTAGAGGAGTCACTGGAAATGGTGAGTTCCAGATTTAGGGAGAGACTGCCTCGATCGAGACAGTGGTATTCAAGCAAGGAAGGCACACAATTTCAACTTTGAGCCTCTACAATGAATATATACACACATTCGTGCCCAATTACCCTCTCATGTGAACCCACACAAACACACATGTGTGAACATGCAAACACATGCACAGATGCATAACACATATATTCACAGTTAGATGAAAATAAATGGCAACTAAGAAGAGACAGGTATATAGGAAGTAGACAGGTATGCAGGGAGCATACAGGTATGTAGGGAGCAGACAGACAGAGCTCTATAAGTGGTTTTCAAAATCACAAAAGCTAAGATGGTGGAGAAAGGGTGGTCTGGATCCAATTTCTATAACAAGGTAGGAGAGGAATGCTACTCAGGCAATCCAGATGTTAACCAGGACTACAGAACTGTGAAATAAAAAGGATAGGTACCAGTGTGGAGTGGAGTCGGAGTTCATGTGCTCTGGCCCAGCAGGTCCAGCACAGAGAGCAGCAATGAGATCTACCTGCACCATTCATCACCCCTGCAACATCTGCCTAGGCAGAGAAGAAAAGTAGGGCTGCCTCCTAACCTGGCTGTCAGCCTGTGTGTGTGGCTCTATATGTTTACTCTGATGAGTAAAGCTAATGTCTGTTACTAGGTAGGAGTCCCAGGACCAAGGATGAGCTTTGAATGAACTTCTGGATATAACTTCTTTATTCTTTGCTCTCTCAGGTCATTGAGTGCATCACCCAAGGCCGTGTCTTGGAGAGACCCCGAGTCTGCCCAAAAGAGGTATATGACGTCATGCTGGGGTGCTGGCAGAGGGAACCCCAACAGCGGCTGAATATTAAGGAGATCTACAAAATCCTCCATGCTTTGGGGAAGGCCACCCCAATCTACCTGGACATTCTCGGCTAGTGTGACTGGTGGCCAAGCATTTATACTCTGTTGCCTCCTCTCTCCCTGCCTCATATCCACTTTTTCCTCATCTCAACTCCTTTCTTCCATCTTTGACTGAACCGAACATCTTCATATAAACTCAAGTGCCTGCTACACATACAACACTGAATTTAAAAAAAAAAAAAACAAAAACAAAAACAAAAGAAAGAAACCCTGTAAGGCAGTTTGACATATATATTTATATATATAACTATCTATCTATCTATATCTACAGAGAATTACCTTCTCTAATACATAGAGACGCTGCTGATACAGAAAACCATAAGACATTAACAACTGAGAACATTTTAAATATTATTATTATTAACACAAATGAAATTCCCTTGACTTAAGCTGTAGCCCATGCTTCTTCAGCTCTGACTTTTCAGAGCTCTTCGTCTTGACTGGCAGAGAGAGAGAGAGAGAGAGAGAGAGAGAGAGAGAGAGAGGATGGGAGGAGGCATGGTGGTATACAACCATAAATGCACATGAGTGATCCCTTGATGATGCTTGGCAAGGAGACAATTCTGGAAGTCCAGGCCCTTTGGAAACATCTCTGGTCTGCCTTGACCTTTGCCTCCACTCTTTTCCTCCTCGTTGGGACAATTTTCTAATTTCTCCATTCTACAAAATATACAGTCCTGATGCTTTTGGGAATCGATGACGACACCTACGAGCAAATACTGAACAAATACCAACACCAGATCACTCAAGAGCAAAGCCATCCACGAGCCACTTAAACACCGAATAAGTCAGGGTGGGGGACTCCGGGAAGAGCAAACCCCAACCTTCTAGATGTAAATCACCCTCAAGTTCCTTCCTAGGTTTGGAGAGGTTTGATCCTCTGAACCTGAAGAACTGGACTTGATGGATTTTAAGGACCGAACCGAGGAACTAAAAACCACTGAAGTCTGGATCCTCTCAAGGCACTGCCTCTCATCTTTCCATCACTGGGAGGACTCTGGCCCGTCATTTCACTTTCAGGCCCTTGGGAGTCTGGAGGTTTAAAGTCCACATTCTCTAGTGTCATCTGCTAATGTGGACACAGCAGGCTTCAGGGTATTTGCTTATTGGCTTGTAGATCATAATTAGGCACCCCCTTGGGTCTCATTTCTTATCTTGCTTCCCCCATATCCTGAGGTTCTATCAAGTCTTGGGTAAACCCAATTGTCAGGGAAGGAATCCAGGTGAGAGCCCGAGGCATGTGTGTTTCAAGAAGTCAGACCCTGGCACTGGCAAAAGTCAGCAGAGGAGAATCTACTTGGCACCTGTGCTGGGCCCTTGGCATTCTCCTCACGTTTTAAGCCCTTGGAAGGATTGATGCATCTGCCTTTGAGCTGCTGTGAAAAAGGCGGGGACTGAGAAATCGCTTTGTGGGCTGAGTGTGGGGGGGAGGTGGCCAGTGTGGTGCGGCGGCTGAAGCTTCTCTGGAAGATGTCCAATGAGTGACCAGTGCCACAAACTTGGCATCTTAATGAGGACCAAGAGCTGCTGACCAGGGAGTGACAATGAAGCATCTGGGCTGGGGCCAGTCCCCCAGGCCTGAGCTCCCGGGGCATCACTGCCTTTCCCATCTATGCTGCTGAGGACTGCAAGAGAGAAGGTCTCTGGACAGCTCTCAGACACAACAATGAAATGCCCCCAGGGAGTCAAGAGCCTGGCCACACCGAGCCATCCTGCTGAGGAGGAGGGGATGCGCCCTTCGTAGGGTACCTGTCTCTCCAACTCATCCCAAGCACAGAGCTACCTAACAGACTTTTTTCCTACCAGAAGCTCCCAGGAGTCACGGACTATCACTTCCCTTTCCAGCTGAAGAAACTGTCTACAGCCTGGATATCCTGGCCAGCCCAAGGCAGCTGAAGTATGGCAACTCTGTGGCGGATTTAGGACTGGATTATGTGTTTGTGGTTTTACTTTTTTTTTTTTTTTTTTAAAAATACCAACAAATGTTTTTATTCAAATAGAAAAGAGCCGTGCTCAGATTGTAGCCATGGTTGGGATTCAGGTATCAGCAAGCCTGCTTAGCTGGACTGGGGAGAGAGTTGGGCTAACTAGGAATTCAGTGTGGAACTTCTTACTCTGCTGGGTACCTGGCCCCTGAGGACATCAGGGAAAAGCTCTTTGGATTGTTCCCTTCAAAAGAACTCTTTGCTATTCTGTGGCAATTACTTCTTTATTACTCCTTGAATCAGTCCACCTGAGGCTTTGGTCTCTGCTGGGGAGATGAACATTGGGTGGAAGTTTCCATTCCAGTTTTAATCTGGATAACTAAGGGGGAGACATTCAGGCAAGGAATGACTGGGTAGGGTGAGGAGAAAGTGTTTTCTACTTAGAAGTGATGTTCCCAGATCTAAAGGCTTTGGGGCAGAGGGTGGCGTGCTGGAAGAAGTAGAGAACTGAAGGAGTTTAGAGCCTTAATGGGATAGTTGGGAGAAGGGACAAGACTGAACTTGCTCAAGTGTCCTTGTGTTAGTTCCATGAGCTTCCACATTGGCATCAGGGGCACCTCCTCTCAATGCCCTCCATTATCAGCTGCCTGTGTAACAGTAAGAGAGAGGGCAATGGAGTTAGGAGGGATGCAGAGCGGGACCAACCTTCTTACTATCCCGGCAACCTCTCTGTGTAGATTTTTACATGTGGACCTTGGAAAGTTGGAGAAAGGGCTCACGGTACTTCGGAGGGTAAGAACCTGCAGACCAGCCTTTGGATAGTGAAGTGTATTCTAGGGCTTTGGAGTATGCAGAGTGTCTTACTCCTCCTGTACTGGCACAGGACATAGACGACTCACTTCACTGTGTCATGCTTTCCTTATGTGCAAACTAAGGGGTACCCTTATTACGTCCCCATCCTATTCTAGCTCTGAATTTTTAGCTTCTAACAGCACGGGGTCACTGTGTCACTTTTTTTTTTTATCAGCATCACTCTGGGATGCCTAGAAAATTCTCCTTTGGCCTTGCACGAGCAGAATGCGGTTGTCTCTGAGGACATACTGTACTTGGGCTGGGGTTGGTTCCAGTAAGTCAGTCTGATCCTCTTTTTCCCCTACGTCACAACATGCAAGAATTTAAAGTGTCTGAGACTACTTCAGACTGGGGTGAGGGGGGCACTCTGTCTCATTCCCTACCCCAGCCTTCCCCTAGATCAGAAAATTGATATTGGTGGTTTATTTATTTATTATTTATTTATTTATTTTGGAAAGAATCTAATGTGGTCGGTCCAATGAGTCTAGAATTGACATCCCATGAGCCCATGTAGCCACTGCCACCTGCTTTATCCGGCTTTCTACATAAACACATCTACACCTTTGAAGGCCATGCCAAATTGATTTAGCCCTTAGCTTGAAGTTAACTTGACTATGAGCACTTGTGAATGTTCCAGGGAACCCATGCTCATCTCTGTGCCCTGTCCCTGTCACCTGGGCCACTCCTGGACTAACAAAGGGTGACTTGGATATCCATTGTAGAGCGGGGTGTCATGGCCAAGGGTCCTTTTAGTTATTTGCTTTGGGCATGAGCTTGATGCTCCTTTCTGACTTACTTCGGCTCTTAACTGTGAGTGGTTGTCAAGGGTCACTAAGCGTTCGCTAGTCAATAGACAAAGGACTTTGGGCTTCCTCCACTCAGCAGATCATGCACAAGTTATTCCCAGAGAAGACTTTTCCCTGGAGGTGGAGAGCCTCCATTTTTTTCTGGGCGTGAGCTGAACAGTGTTGTTCATCTCTGGTGACGCTTACCTGGTGGAACACACTAGTGCAAGTACTTCTGGTGCTAACTAGGACAGAAACCAGCGCCCAGTGAAGAGCTTCAAAACAGAAGTAGGGTGAGTCAGCCATGCCAGAAGAGCACTGCATACAGCCGGAAGACCCCTGAGAGCCCTGCCTCTGTGCTTGGCTACCTGTGATGTGATTTGGGCTAAATCTGCATTTCTTTGATTGTCCGTCTTCCCGCCTGAGGTGCATGGGGTTAGACTAGGTGGACCCTTAGTGTCTACTTAGTTTGAAAGGCTATTTTGAGTCCCACCTACTCCTCTGTTCTAAGGTTGTTTGCTAGAAATGAGAGATGAAAATGGAAGGAAGGCAAGGAAGGAAAGGAACAAAAAAATTACTGTTGACAAAAACCGACCGTGAAAGGAAAGGGAAGAGTATTTAGTGGCTGGTATGGTTGAGGGACACTGGTGCAGGATCCAGGCACACAAGTCGGGAAGTCGGTGTTTGTGTTCTTCAGGGGAGTCTACCCTGCTCTACCAGCCATCTTCCCGACTTCACATGCCCACGTTGGCAGAAATGAGTCTGGAATATGGAGACAGTCCTGCCCACCTCCCATGAAAAGCAAGTAGTAATCTGGACTCTGGGTCTGAAACCAGTAGGTTTTTATATGTACATGCTTTCTCTTTTACGTCCCAAAATAAGACTAGTGGCATATTTTTTTCCCTTTTCTGAACCAAACAGCAGCAGTAATATCTTTATACTTACCTGAGAGTTTTTGCAAACTTTGCAATTCTTTGCTTCCAGGGGAGCATAGAAATATTTGTAGATGATCAGTCAATGAAACCAGATTCCATGAGTCCCATGAGACAACCTCAAACTCCAGTGTCTGCTTTAGTTGGGCACCAACCTGATAAAATGCACAAGGTGTTTACCTCAAAGCTAAAAATGTCACCTTGAGCTCAGACCCTGTGAGCTGTAGTCACTCAATATGATTTTATTTCTTCAAGATTCACATGTATTTGGTACCAAATAAATTGTTTCAACCAATACTTAACAGGGCTGGAAGGGGAGTTCCGAGTTTGGGCATCATTATTAAACACATCAGTTTGGACTTCAGAACCTGTTGGAGGATTGCTCGAATATTACCAGGGAAGCATTCCTTTTCAGCTCTAGCCATATGCACGTCATGTGTTCTAACTATCCACTCGATGCTCACAGAGTCACAAAAGCCTCCCTGGAATCAGCAAATCAGTGAAGTTTGGGGTTCTCTTTGTACTTTATGTTTCTCCTGGATGAGAACTGCAGAGCTGGACTGGCCTTGGAGATATTCAGGAACATCCCAAAGGGAAACTGGTTATCTCATAAAGTTTGATCATCTGATGCTCCCCATACTAAATTATATTGACAATAACATCCGAACATCTCAACATCATCCCTCCTGGTTTTCTGATAACTCATCATGCAGAAACCCTTTCTACTTAAATGTTGTTTGGGATTTGTTATTGGAGTTACGGGGTGGGGGGGGGGCAGATGGAACCTCCTCCAGGAGGGAAGAGAGGACCTGAAAGGAAAGCAGCCGACTGTGCTGTCTGATAGGCACATGTGATGGTGGTGGAGGAGGTGACAATTTGTTTCAATACACTGGGTTGTCCTACCCAGGGCCCTGCATTTTAGCTTCTGAACAGGGTTTCTGTTTTTCTAGTGCATTCTCTCCAAACACACGTGTGTGTGTGTGTGTGTGTGTGTGTGTGTGTGTGTGTGTGTGTGTGCAATAAGTTTTTAATGTACCAACAGAGACACCTTTCTATGAGATGTGGACTCCACCTGAGAGAACTCGGAATTCCTTTTCTTTTCCTTCTTGTTAGCAATATTAAATCATATAAAATCATGGGTTTCCTTATGATACTTTCAAATATGTGAATCCTTGGAATTCCTTACCATAGTCATAGAATTCAGATTGCCGTTCCTGTAGGCGGCTAGGTTCCAACTTTAAGACAAGGCCTGGTTTGATATTTGCCATAAGAATGCTGTCTTAAACCAGCAAGTAAAATTCCGTCTTTCATACAGAGGTAAGATGGTAAATTCTATTAACTTTTTTCCCTGATCATCCAGGAAGATATGGAACTCCAAGATCTAAGCACAGAGTTTTCAAGAGATATTTATAGTCCACAAGTAGATGCTTTTAATAGAAGATGGATTGAGATAACACAGAAGACAAGGAGCCTACAGAACTCCTACTTCTGAGGCGCTTCCAGGCATTTTGATATTGCTTTCCTTTAGTATCTGAGAGGATTCAGTCTTTTCTCATTTTCGGCAGTTGGAATTTAGACCTCTTTCCTGCAAGAATAAAGGTAGTGTGAGAGCCCAGCTAAGCACTGTGTAGTCTAGCATTCCTTTGGATGCAGTATCCCCTTAAGTGAGTGAGAAATCACACGTTCAAATCCAAATCTGGTATTTATTATTTCATTTAAGAAGCATTCCTAGGAGTGTGACTTTTAAAAGGAACTAAGTTTATATTCTCTGGAGTAGTAGGACCTACTCAATTTCTCCCCTTGGAGATTAGTCCGTGTTCTGTCTCTATTTCTAAGCTGCCTGACACTTGCCTGGTGCCCTTGACGCTACTTCTGGACAGGAAGAGAAAGCCTGGTCCAGTACTGTGACTTCTGCTGCCCACAGGAGAGGAGTACATTTCAGTAAAGAGTTTCTTCTTTCTGCTTTTTCATTTCCCCCTTTTTCTGGGTTCGCATTCTCTGGCTTCCATGAGACAGAGGGTCTGGATTCTGACAGTCTGAGAAAGTCATAATATGAGGTGAATCCCAGGACCACAAACAGTTTGGACTTCAAACAGTGAGAAAATTGGCGCCGAATGATTCGGCACACAAGGCAGAAAACTTTCATTTCCTGCAGGCAGGATGGAATTGACTGTTATATTAAGACTTCTGAAGGAGCCCTGCCCTGGAGTAATTTCAGTGCTGTCAGACAATGTTGACATCTAGATTAACCTCTGTGCAGTGAATTTGACTGCACAGCTCATTGAGATGCATGTGGCGTGTCCCTGTAAATCCCATCTGAAACCCTTGGTGGCCCACCCACAGCAACCCCCTCTTCCGTCTTCACCTCCTGATCTCACAGTCCATGAACTTTTAGCCTCTGGGAGCAAAGGCACTATGGCTGGGGTCTGACCCTCAGAAATGGAGTTTTGACCTTTCTGTGAGCATGATATAGTCCTGCCTCATGTTTGCTGCTTGGTCAGAGTGACAGCTCTTGTCACTGTATCGTTTTTCTCCCAGAGGAGACGGCAAATCAAGGCATGAAAGCCATTCCACTCATGACAAACAATTTTATGACTGATCTAAAAGTGAAATGGTCTACAGAGGAGCCAAGGGCCCAGAGTTGGTCCATCTGTATGCTTCCAGTCTTTCAGGTTTCAAGAAAACAGCAAATGCAACAAGGTCATGACCACAGATGAGGTGGGTAGGGTCTGGCGGCTGGAAGGACTTGTCTTCTATACAGGTGTTTCCTCTGGTCCTTTTAATAAAGGCATCCCAGACTCCTACTCACCTGGCTGGGATAGCGCCTTGTAGGAAGCTCTGAGCCCTTCTTGCTCATGGCATGATGCCACACTGAGATCCCATAGTTAGATGAAACCTTTCAGATAAGGTGGCCCACATCAAAAGTACATACATCTCATGCATCAAAAATTCTGAAAAGGGACCTTCAGCTTGGTCCCAGCTACCTCCAGACTCTGCAAAGCTACTCAACATAATCCCAGGCATTTCTGAAAACACACCTCAGGACTTTAGAATACCCTGCCCAAATCTGAAGAACAAATTTCTCTACAGAATCATTGAATCTGATTCTCCTTCAAATTATTTTTCCTTCTTTGCTTCTTTAGTATAAGTAGTGGGGATCTCTTTCTATATTCTCAGATACTTCTTTAGGAAGTTTTTAGCCAAGGACATTGTGTTTATTGACTAAGAAAATAGATTTCTGGGCTGAGCAATATAGCAGTCACACAGAGGAAATCTTGATGACTTTATTTAAAAGCAATTATCAGAGCTGTGTTTTGTTTTTCTAGCTTCTCAAGCTGACGGAGAACAAACCATATTCACCCCCTCTGTTATTTGTCATATGTATTCACTTCCACATAGAAGTAAGCGCATGCATGCAAATGCCTGGGTAATTCTATTGCATCTAGACCACAGTGCCCCATTTGTGTTTCTTTCCTTGATCTCAGCGTGTGTGTGCAAATGAGTGCACCACACGTGTGGTTTCCTCACTGTGCCTCATCATTGTTTGTATTAGCAGCACAAAGCCTATGACTTTCTGCATTATGAGTTATTTACAAAGTTGAGGCTCCTTTGATGGAGAAAAAAAATACCCAAGTTCTCAAAATTTTCATACATAAAGACAGGACTCCTCCCCTATCTTTTTTTCAAGGTTAAAAAAAAAAAAAACACCAAACAGACTGAGCCTTGATTCTGATTATCTGTAATTAATTTTCTGGGGGAAGGGGTATCAGATTCATCATAAATATTATGTGTAAAGATAAATGTGAATGAGTTTATGCTGACTATTGACCTAACCATTGGCTATAAAACTCAAGTGTTCTAGTGGAACTGTGGCATGCAGTCCTTGGGACACAAGAAGAGAGCTGAGTTAGGAGCTGAGAGGCTGGATTATAGGGCGTTTGTCTGGGCACCTGAATGAATATCAGCTCTTAACTGAAAGCAGGCAAACAGGCTGCAGACTGCTCTCCCTCAAACAGCAGTGATGAGGAAAGCCGCTCCGTTCTAATCTGTTGCTCAGGTTAGTTCCTGACAAAGCATATCATAGCCGGTATTCCCTGAGAGCACATCTGCAGACATCCCATTCCAAAGGGCCAGAGTCGTTTGTTTGCACCATATGCTCAGTTTCTCACTTACAGCTCTCTCCGAACTCTAAATCTTATCTGTCTCCAGCTCCCTACCTCACCTTTTAGAGGCCAGGCTCTAAGAGCTCTAGAAAGTGGAGGAGAGTCTGGGTGTCTGATCTCTTTAGCCTGAGCATGTTGTGATTTAGTCTGGGTTTCTGCAGAAAGAAGCAAGCTGCTCTCCCAGCCATCCATCAGTCTCTTTCCAGCTCCATGGACCAAATGATTAGCGCTCATTAGCGCCTCATCAGTTGCTTTGGCACAGGAGACTCTGGTACAACCGGTCTATTATAAGGCCCCAGTCTGTCTTTTTGAAGTCATCTCATCCTTCTGGCGTGCTTAAGAAAAGCAAGCCTTCCTACAAGCATGTTTTCCTTCACATTTCTGTCTTGTTTCCTGGCTGCTGAATATTCTAGTAAATGACAAAGTACAGTTTTTCTTTTTTTCTAGTCTACTGTGAGCAGGGGCCGTGTCTCCCCATGGACCAGAGCTCTGTGTGTCAGCCACGGTTTATGCAGTCTTGGGACAGTTAAAAGAGTGAGCCACAGATTTGGTGGAGGTGATCTTTATTGTGATGGCATGAGAAAGGTTTGTACCTTAAGAAAGGAACTGAATCAACACACCGTGGAATGGCGATGGAGGAGAGGTCAACTGAGGATCTGGGAAGCCAGACTTTCTAGTCCACACATCACTTCATATCAACAGATGTTTTAGCTGTTCCAGCAATGGTTCTTACAGACACAAATAGCCACATCCACTAGTCAAAAATAAATCCATCATTTCTGACGTCTGACACAACCACTTATTTTTTAAAATCCTATTTTTCCTCATGAGCTGGAGAAATTGCTCAGATTCTATGAGCACTGGCTGCAGTTCCAGATGAGCTGGATTTGATTCCCAGCACCCACATGGAAGCTTACAACCATCTGTAAATCCAGTTCCAGGGAATCTCACACCCTCTTCTGGCCTCCACAGGCATCAGACATGGAAGTGGTGCACAGGCATTCATACAGGAAAAACACTCACACACATTAAAAACAATCTCTCCCCTCTCATAACTCTAGACAGCGTAAGCATGTTTCTTTTCTTGGTTTCTACTAATATCTTCATTGTGATTCCCAGGTTTTTAATTTTTTTATCTGCATTTCCTTAGGAAAGAGTTGATGGTCTATTTTAAGTTCTATCTATGAAGAAATGTCAAGACAGATGCAAAGTGAGGGAGCAATGGAGCCAAAAGGTAGAGGTCTTATGAGCCTTTATTTCTTTCTGATCAGCTTCTTGCTCTGTAAAAGCTCTGCTAACAGCCTCTTCCCTGCCATTTACTGAGGATTATCATGAGCAATAGAGTCAGCCCTCAGTGGTGTCCCTAAGGCCCCATGGTTGTGAAAGCCTACTCCTTGGGCAGCTGGCGCTATTTGTGGTTGAAACGTTTGACTTTTTGGCTGTGTTTGAGGTACACCTTCCTTATTCCCTCCAATGGTTGGTTTCTAAAGAGTTAGTCATTAACCTTTTTCCACCTTGAATCATCAGCGCATATACAGTAATGGAAAATATGTTGCAATTCTACCAGCAGAAAGGGATGTTTTACCCACTTAGTAGGGGTGATCTGTAGATTTCATTTTCTGGCATGGAACCCTGGGACATCTTGAAGCCAAATAGCATCTTCTCTGCTTTAACTCCTTATTAACTCATTGCTGCTTTGAAGAGGTGCTGTAGATTTCAGAATAATGCCTGGTAAAGTAAGACTGCATTATTTAAACAAATACTAAAACTGATCTTGCAGGGAGATTGAGGGTGATAATGATCTTGAAGCTTTCTAGGGACTGTGGTCCCCACAAGGGAAAGGCAGGGATAATCAGAAGATGGAGAAAGCTATCCTGGTGATGACCAAACTCAAGGCTTCATTTTCAATGGCCCAGAGCACAACAGAGAGGTTCCAGAGGGACTCCTGCTGAGGAACATGTCTGGCTGAAAATGAAACCCCAGACAATAAATCCTGAGGCCAGATTGCCAAGGTTACAGCAGTGAAGTCATTTACAGTCTCTAAAAAATGTCCCAGGTGTTTGTGATGCCAAGCACTATTTTAAGTTCCTTGCTACGAAGACTACTTGGAAAGTGAAATCTTTCAAATGTTATTTCCCTTCAATTTCCAAGTAGCCATCAGGTGTGATATGTCTGACAAAATGTTGTCTGTGTGTTGTGAAAGGATTTTGACCACTCATGAGAAAAAGCAAAATAAAGCCGAGTACCAAGAATCCTGAGAAACTCGGAAATGTTTCACTGGAGTTCAGATGATCACATCTTCTTTTTTCTTTTGACCTTGGGCTTAGTGTTCGTTTTTCTGATACAGGAAAACAGACTTTCTGTTCTAGACTTCTATCTGAGTGATTTTTTCCCCCTGCCATTGTCTGCCAGGCAGAAAGCACCCCAGATTTCTTTGAAATGAGAATCCAAATTGGGATATGTTTGTAAATTGTGGTGTGAAATTGAAGAAGGCAAACTGGTTTGGAGTGGTGTTTCCTAATTCTCTTGGATAGGACATAGGCTCTTCTAAGCTTTGCTAAAGCCTGCTTGGAACAAATAGTTTCACAGTGTGACTTCCTACAGACATGACTGATAAATTAAATATCTCAAAGGTATCATTTAAGAAGTAAATTGATGAACATGGAAAGTTTGAGCTAATACGCTAACAGGAACAGTAAGAACTTACTTTAATGATTGTTTTCATTCCCTTCTCTGAAAGTTTAGCCTTTTGGGGGACCATTGGGACATTTCTTTTCCAAGGCTAGCAGAGATTGATTATAGTTCATGTCTAAAAGCAAAGGCTCTCTTGAGCCTGCTGGGGTTGGAGGTAACCCCAAATGGCCCATGTTATTTTTCTGATACAAGTACCACAGCAACAGGAGTCTTCTTGATTATGTGTTTGGATCCTGGTGGTTTGCACAAGGGATTTGTCAAATTAAAAAGAAAAGAAAGCAAGTTGGGGCAAGAAAATTCTGACTAAATGTGGAAAACAAATCAGTTCTGCCAGCAGACATTCCTGTACTATTCAGTGAAGAAATACATTCTCTTTTCAAGATGAGTTTTACTTTTTGAGGTATGTGTGCTGTGCTGTGTGTGTGTGTGTGTGTGTGTGTGTGTGTGTGTGTGTGTGTAGGTGGAAGTCAGAAACAAGTATGAAGATGTTGTTTACACATTTAGATGTTCTCTTGAGCACAGTAAAAGCTCTGTTCAGTTTCTTGGAACATGACAATAAAATTAGGGTTACAGAGGAAATAAAGGCTGGTGTTTTAGAACAATGTGAAATAGTCTCTAAATATTTCTTTCTGAAACCTTCAGTCATAGCAAATCAAGTCACCCTCCTATTTGTTGTTGATATCAGGGCAAAATAGTCAGTGCACAATCCCTGCTGGTCCTATTGCTCTATCTGTCTGTGGGCCTCTCTTCTGAAGGCATGGAATCCTTAATTCATGCCAGCATCTTGGCCAACATGGCTAAATGATGAAATTGCTTAGACAGTGTAGAGTAAGCTACCCCATGTAGATTTTTGGCAAGGTGTTAATTCTTTCTCATGGGCATTAGGGTTGTTTTAGAGGTTTTTTTTTTTTTTTTTTTTTTTTTTGCCTCAAATGATATTCCAAGTGATTTGAAATACAGTTTGAGACCTTTCACCTAATATTAACCTCTGTGAAAGGACAATTTAGTTTCACAGTAGTATTTGGCTTTGCCCATCCCAGAAGTGTAAATTCTGCTGTGATCTTTGCTGTGATCTTGCTATAGGGTTTCAGCACCAGGGACAGCAGTCATTTTCCTCATATGAGGTCTAGTCTGGTGATTGGATTTCCAGACAGGAATTTTTCCATCAGTCCCTACCCATTGAACTTGGAAGATTTTATTCTTAAGTTTTGGTGCTTATGTATTTAAATTTTCATGATCCAGGTATTACTGCTCTAGTTGGAAGTGTGAACCTGGGAGGGAGTGGAGCTGAAAAATGAGTTGGACTGAAGTCTCATGCAATAGCCAACTTTATTCAGAGCACCAGACAATTTATATTCTGAGGTTATTCTGAGGATTAAGTAGGGTCATGGACAAAGTTCATGTGAGTTTAGGCTGTATTCAGCCACAAGGAGAGCTGGTGCTTGGAAACATCTTTGAATAACAAACGTAAGCAGCAATATGTAATCAATCTGAAGCAAATCTACTCGTATTTACTACAATTGGGAGGGCCACAAAAGCACATTCCAAGAACAAACCATGTTATGGTGAAACATGGGTTACAAGACTTTTGCCTTGTTTCCTTGGGGTTATCTCACAAGCTCTTAAAATCCTCCTCAGACAGCTTTTCATTCAGGGACTATGTTCCAACATCAAAATCCAGGAATAGCTTTTATTCCCCCGCCCCCTCCCGAAACTGATATAGCTGTTTCTGCCATATCCTTGGCCTGCTCACAAAGTATAGACTGTGACAGTCAGGTTTCCCAGAGATGGGAAAGACTGAGGTACCAGTGGTAGAAATGCTTTGGGGCAGGAATCCCTTCCTTATAGGCACCCTAGACTTGCAAACTCCTATAGGGAATACTACTCATTGACAACCACTTCTAAAAAAAAAAATAAGCATTGTGTTCACAATATACAAGGCCATGGTTCATTGGTATGCATCCAGAAGCAGTAATACCCAGCAATGGAGCTGAAGTTCTGACCTCTGAGGACAAAGAAGGGTCTAGCAATGCTGTCATCAGGTATTTTGGAAACTTGTGGAAGGCTACTACTTTGAATCTTGGCATCCAGTTTTTAACCTTGAGTGCTGTTCAACAGCTCTTTTTGCCTTAAATATTCATGGTAAGATTGGAAGTAGCTCCTCATGGCTTTCCCCATGCCTGTCCAAAGGAGACACTGGGAAAATGGGAGTAACAGAAGCACATGTTGTCACTATGCTTTGTGATCATCCAGTTTTCCTATAGCACAACAATGCATAGGTGTCACCACAGAGGTAGTACAGTCTTCTGTTGTTTACTTGGCATCCTCCTTGGGGCCCTCTCTCCAAGATGGTAACTGAATAGCAGCTCTTTCCTCCTCCTCCTCCTCCTCCTCCTCCTCCTCCTTCTTTTTCCTTTTTCTTCTTCTTCACAGGTGTTACACAAAGTCCATTTTGGCTGTCTCTGAATTATCTGAGACCTGATCAAGCTATCATTCTTTCTAGCTCCCCTTTCTCCTCGTCTTTTAAATATCCTTCTTTCCCCCTCATTATTACTTATAACAATACATAGTATTTAATGATAAGAGACCATGCAGCATTCCTTTTAAGGATAGAGAAATAGTCAGGCCTCAAAGGAGCAAGTTCAACAGGAATGGGATGTTTAATCTTGGGGTAAGTTGGGGGAGGGGCGCATCCCTCTTCCTTCCTTACCTTCTTAAACAGTTCCATTCATGCTCACACTTGTCACACAAAGAGGACAGTTGCCTGCATTTCTCTGGGTGGCTTTCATGGATACAGAGTGGGCAGGTCAAAATATCCTCTATTTGATTCTGTTAAAACAGGAGAGCTTTGTTTTCTATTTTAATCAAGGAAGGGTCCTAGTAAAGGAAAGATATGTACAGAAAAGACCAGCTATAGGAGAGATTCATAAGAGAATATTTTCTATAAAATGACAAAAGAGCTACAAACTCATCTTTCATGGGATACATGACTCCCTGGCAGGCAGAAAGGTAGTCTGAGATGAGCTAGAGAACAAGCCCCTTTGATGCCTCAGGAGGAACAGACCAGAATGAAACCCCAGCAAGGTTCTTGTACTTTTTCTGGAAAAAAATTCTTCAAAATTTCAAGGGCACATCTAGTTCTGCCTCTTCAGAGGCCCGCTCAGTGCTACTTCTGAGTTCTCAAGGCAAGTGCCCTGTAAACACCAAAGTCTTGCATTTTCCACTCTCAGCCAGCAGTGGCTATCCTGAGTGGAATGTTTTTCCCTTCCTTAAGTGAAAGGGACTTGTTTTCAGGAGAAGTGTCCTTTAAACATCCAGCTAAAACTGGAGGTAATTTTTTGCATGAATGGCTTTTTACAGCTAGGTCTAAAGCAGAACAAAACTTGTATTAAACTAAGTGCTACTTTACATATCTTATTTCAAGGGAAATGAAGGATTTATTGCCGTGTAAATGATATACACTGATTTCTTTCCTACTGGACATTACATGTCCCTTTATCTTTAGGCTGATGTTGTGCAGCAAACTTTCAATATCTGGAAAATCAGCTGGTACCTACTTCAGTGCACTAGCAGGACATTATGTTCCCACCGAGGAATTTTGCAAATGAAGTTTGGGTGCTGATGCAACTGATTTCCACCCCACCCCTCATCCCTAAGCTTTCTGTACTAAATATCTGTAAAGTGATTATATCTTGTCTGACCCCATGTGTTTGTGTATATTTCCCAATGTTTGTAAAACTATAGTGGCAATCTGAAGGGTTATTTGTTTTTGTGGCAACTGCTGAACAATGGGTGCGGCCTAGGGGACACATGTGGCATATGTACGCAGCAGTATTGGGGCCAAGAAAATGTACTCACTGAGTTTGAGAAGTGGGGTGAGCAGCAATATGGCTTGGCTTGGAGGATGTTCAAAAATGGGTAGAGTGTTGCCAAGTTATTGTTACTTGCTGAAGAACTTGATGAAGCAGAGTTAGGATGTGCTCACCCAGGTCTTAGATTGCTTATATAAATTCCAACTGACCAATCTTCAGCTTTATTTTTAACAGAACTATTCTTTCATGAGGCTCACTCTATATTCCACAGGCTGATGGGAAATGCCGATCATGCTTGCTTCCCATGATTGGATTCCCGAGGAGCTGTTAATATAGCAGACTGTGGTGTTAGATACACTAGGATTAAGTCATAGTGCCCCTTCCTTGAGAAGTCATTCCTTCCATTATTTTCCTTTCTCACAAATTAATTCCATTGTCTATGCTAACTTTATTTAGATGTGTACAAGCATTAGAGAAGCAATCTAGTTAAAATGATGGCTGTGTTTACCTCTGGAGAACAGATTCATAGTCTTATGCAAAACTCTTCCAGAAACTTATCTTTTGTGAAACAGAGCAAAATCAAAACAGAACAGAGCCAAGAGTAACTTGATAAGATGGCAAGATGGCCCCAGGGTAGAAAGAAGTGTTCTCAGTTGACAGGAAGAGTTGTGTTGGAAAGGCAAGTACTCACCCTTCTTCTAGTCCTACCCTGCCTCCCTTCCTCCTCAACCTCAGAAGAAAACAGAAACTTATTTTTTTAAACTGTATTAATAATTTATGTTTAATACAAAAGGATGATTTAATGGTATCACCAAAGGTCATATCTCTCATTGTGCATGTCCTTCGCTTTCAACCCCATACACTCATCCCATTCTTCACCCTCACTTCCATCCCAAGGCAACTGTGTGTCTTCATAAAAACCTATGGGTGTTGGAGTTACATGTGGGGGTAGACATTTAACACCTGACACTAACAACCAATCATTCTTCACTTTTAAGTGACAATTATTACAATAAGGAAAACTCTTTCCTTGGTTTTTGTTTGAAATCATTTTATACATATATATGTATATATGTGTGTGTGTATGTATGGACACATGTATGTATATGCACATGTACATGTATATATGTATATACCCATCTCAATATAAATATACCATATGTGAGAGTTGTAAATACTCCTTGGTCATGCATCTGTCTTCCTCATAGTATCATATCTTCAATGTTATGTTAACGACTCCATTTATTGATTGATGAGATCATGTGTAGACCTGTATCCTCCTGACATAGTTTATGTAGGGTCTCTTCTCAAATAAAGTATAAAACAACAATGCCCTTGGTTTAATTGGAATTATTGTATTGAGTTTAAAGGTGAGCAGAAATTCGGGTAGATTTGAATATGAGCAAATACCACAGCAACAAGCATTATCTTGAAAACTGCTACCCTCTTTTGTTGATATAATATGAATATTGGGTTGAGATGAGTTTTTCAAAGCCACATACATATGTTTATGAGTTGATTCAGGGCCCAAGAAAAGGACTGAATCCTAGTAGCTCTGGATCATGATGAGGACCTGTTTTTTTTTCCTACAAGGTATGTTCAATACCTCTCTTGCAGTCATGGAGGTTACCAATGTGAGATAAACTATGTTCTCTTAGCTCTCCTTTACCCCAAAGATTTTACAATTCTTTTACATAATTACTTAGTGGTCTATCACAACCTATTTTCAGTAACTTCTCTTAAAGGTATTGATTAGTTGTAGGAGAGAGTGTGAAGAAGAGACACTGGACACACAGAAAGTAGTTCCACTGACCAGAGTTCAATGGAGATGAAGAAAATTGCAAATGTTTTTCCTTATTGATATCACTCACATTTTGGAGTAGTGATAATTCTTTTTTTATTTTTGTGGATGGCTTTCCTGTTCATCATATGATATTGTTATAAATGCATTTGTATTAGAAACATTAGTAGCCTTCCTCTTCTTGCTAAATGTGTGCTGATCAAAGTGTCTCCAAACACTTTCAAAAGCTCCCTGGGGTAGGGATTGACCCAACTGAGAGTCACTGGTTTAATTGTTAGATCTTATTTACTAATCATTATTTATTTAATAATCAAATAATAAAATCCAGGGAATGTGTGAGCTCTGTTAAGTCCTTCTGGAATGCTGATTGGCCATACTTCTGAGTAAACTTATTTCTTTTTTTAATATACAGTCCCTTTCAAAGACCATCACCAAGAATGCAGTTGTATCCCATAGTTTCATTTCGGGCAGCAATGAAATTGTCTTCCTCATCTCCATGTATTAAATGTACTCAATCCTAGATTATCTGTCAATTCTATTTAAAATGTAATTAACATATGGTTAATACTTTAGTGCCAGTGCAAGAAGACAGGCAAACCCCTTTTCAAGCACTCTGGGAAAGGTGCTGGCACACCAAAGGGATAGAATGTATTGTCTTTTAACTGTTCTGTCACATTTTCACCTGGCTCTTGACACAGCATCACATAAATTATGGGGTCATAAATAGACCCCCTTGTTTGCTTAGAACATACGTTGCCAGTAAATAAGTTCCTTTCAGTGAATAACTCAAACTTGAAATAAATTTGTCTAGGAAAAGACTAATTTTTCCATACAGCGATGTGAGCATAGTGTGTATTTAGGTTACATGTATTGAAATGAATTGGATTCTACATTCCCCACTGTCTGGATTACATTTAAAGGGTTACTGTTAAGTTGCCCTTGAACATTATTCATGGAAACATTGAGTATATAAAATCCTGAGCCATCTGGTGGCATGGGAGTTATAAGGGCAACACAAATCATCCTGGAAAGTGACTGAGGTGCAGTGAGAGATGGTTATTTCCAACTCCACAAGTGGGATGCTCAACCTCAACCTTATGTGAATTCCTCCATGACCTCTATTTGTCATCTACTTTGGAATCACAATCCAAGGGCCTGATAAAAGCAAAGAAGTCTAGATCTTCTGTGTCTGAAAGGTCCTTGATCAATATTATTCAATTACTTTCCCATTGGCAGGATTCTCAGGTGAGCAAAGTTAGAGACAGCCTACTGAATGAAAACATTTTCCAATGCCACAGAACATGGCTGATAAAGCCATTTCATTAAGACAACATAGTCCTAAAGCATCAGTATCCCAGTGACAACACAGAGATGTAATAGCCTAGCAAAGATACTTTAGAAATAGCAAGACTCACTTGGAACCTATGAGAATGTGGACAGCAGATGGACCTGGAAGGTGCTCATGAGGCACACCGAAGTTGATATCCAAATGAGGTTCATGATAGCTTTTTTTTTTTTTTTTTTTTTTTTTTGGTTTTTCGAGACAGGGTTTCTCTGTGTAGCTTTGCGCCTTTCCTGGAGCTCACTTGGTAGCCCATGCTGGCCTCGAACTCACAGAGATCCGCCTGGCTCTGCCTCCCGAGTGCTGGGATTAAAGGCGTGCGCCACCAACGCCTGGCTCATGATAGCTTTTTAATTAACTAATTAGTTAATTTTACAACACTACTACTGTTTCCCCTCTTACCTCTCCTCCCAGCCCCTCCTCCCATGTCCCCTCTTCCCCTGCCTGCATCCACTCCTCCTCTGTTTCTATTCAGAGGAGGACAGTCCTCCCATGGATAGCAATCAAACATGGCATATCAAGTTGAAGGTTGGACAAGGCTGCCCAGCATGAGGAGTAGGGACCCAAAAGCTGGCAAACGAATCAGAGACATCCACCCGCCTCACTGTTAGGAGTCCCACAAGAAGACCAAGCTATACAACTGTAACATATATGCAGAAGGCCTAGGTCAGTCCCATGCAGGCTCCCTGATTGTAGTTTCAGTCTCTGTGAGCCCCTATGAGCCCAGGTTAATTGATTCTGTGGGTTTTCTTGTGGTGCCCTTAACTTCTTTAACTCCAACAAGCCTTCCTCCCCCTCTTCTGCAGGATTCCTTGAGTTCTTTCCTAATGTTTGGCTGTAGTTGTGGCTGAATGGTTAAGTCAATGGAGTAGCTGAGATCTTGAAATGATGCAGGGATGAATACCTAGGACAATTCTCTAGTGTTTCACCAAACAGTATTGGGCTCCTTTACCCTGAGCCCTGTTGTGTTCTTTGATCCTTTTGGGATACTCAAGGTTATCTGGCTATTAACCAGGTAGATGTTCTATTTTAGCCTCTTTCCCCTCCACCACCAGTGTTCTGAATTATTCAAATCACCAGCACAGGGCTCAGCAGAGGGTCTAATTACTGCCCTGCTTGCTGCTTGCTGAGGATCTTCCAGAGCCATGGAATGGTTTTAAAACAGTTTAGTGGGGGAAAGACACCCTCTCTGTCAAGTTGCATTGGAATCTCAGTCTCATTAGGGAAAGTCAGATGTTGTAGCTGTGGAAAGGGCATCTGCAGGATGAGGCCATCTTCTGATTTGATACCACAGGCAGAGATAGCCAGGATTCGGGAGAGAGCAGTCCTTGGACCAATCCAGCTCTTTTGTATGATTGTCTTAGTCATAGCCACTTTTTCCTAAAAAGTTTGAAAGCATTCGTGTCTTCCTTTGAACATTCATGTTCAAACAGTCTTTGGGCATGGATTCTAAGACATAATAGAAGGATGCTACAGAAAGAGCAAGATGCCCAGACATAATAAGGATTGCTCATACTTAAGTCAAACGTCATTATTGGCCAATCCCTCTCTTAAGTATTCCATGTGAGTTAATCCTTCTAATGGGGTCAGATGCTGATAATATTTTCATTACAGAAATATATTAATCAGAGATTTGGATAACATGTCCAAGTCTATTCAGCTAAAGCTGAATCAGAGTTTGAAGCCAGCATTTGGGTTTAACACATGTGTTCTTAATCAGCACTCCATACCTCCTCTCCAAAACCACAATGGAGAGTTCAGCATGGAAAAAAAAAATGAAAAGGACATACAGTGGGGAATATGCATCTCTTTTAAAATATCCGTCCGTCCATCTATCCACCCATCCATCCTTCCAATTCATGTAATTGACTTAGAGGTGAATGCAGAGGATGTACTAGTACTTAAGATGGAAAGGGTTCCAGGAGACTTTATCTACATTTTTTGTCCCTCCTCCCTGATCCACACTAGGTTTTCCTCAGTAAACAGAAGACAATGTGAATTACAAAGTGCATGATCACCCGATATGCAGAGAGGGCAAAGGAAAACAGAATTTCTGTCCACGAGGTGAACAGCGTTTGATAGAGAGATTCCCCTAGGCTTCCCCTGGAACAGAGCCACTTCCCCACTCATTATGTCCTTGAGCTGTGCATAATAAGTACTAGAGCTTTGGAATATACCTTATGAGAATTCCCTGGAAGCCTTGGCTTTCTCTTGAATTTTATTCCAGGAGAGAAGCCAGAACCCTTCTCTTAAGCCATTTTGCACACATTGACCTAGAGAGAAAAGTATGCCTCAATCTAGGCCTGACACCCTTAAGTCACTGCCATGGGGACACACTGGAACTGCTCACTTCCTACCTCTGTAAAACGCAACAAACCACACTCACCTGCAACAAAATGGAAAACCCCACTGGCAGCTATGTGCAATGGGGCTGATCATAAACGTGATTTATGAAGTTAGTTCGTTTACTGCCTCGGATGCTAGCCCCAGCTGCCAAGAGTTTGACTGACAATTTCTGTTTATTTATTTCTCACTATATAATATCTGACTTCACATTATAAATTCTTCTGATTGGAATTTCATGGCACCTGCTCTGGTATTTATTGATGGCATGTTCATTGGGGACTCTGCCCCTTTGGAGTACGTGCGAGGCTCTGAGCCCTGAGTTGTGTCTGTAATGGTGAGGTTCAGGCCCTGACATCCCCATTGTGAGGGAACTTTGCTATTATCTCTCATGCCTCATGGTGGACATCTCTCTGTTTTCTAAATATGGTGACTTGTGACTGACACTTTCTGTGATTTAAGTAGTAAAAATAACTGAATTCGACCTCCAGAAACCCTATTTAAAAAAGCCAGTTCTGGTGGCACTTGCTCATATTCCAGTGCTGGAGAAGCAGAGACAGGCAACGCTCTAGAGCTCAGCCAGAACACATAGCCTAAAGTACTCCCTAGCCCCCAGAGACAACCTCTCTCAAAGAGCCAAAAGCAGGGTGGAACGCTCCTGAATTACGCCATTCGAGGTTGGTCTCTATTCTACTCTGGTATTTGCACTCACTTGTACACACATGAAAACACTTGGGTCCCCTCACACAAGCATACACATATAAACATGCACACAAGAAACATCAAAAGACAAGAACAAAAAAATTGAAATACATTATTGTTTGAGCCCTGGAAACTGGTCTGGAA